CCCCCCGCGCTCCCCTCCGCCTCCTCCCTCGGGGTGCCCCCAAGTTCCCGGGGGCCGCGGCGGCCTCGGCTTCCCCCGCCGTTAATCCGCCGCTCTCTCCGGCCGCAGTAAACAGGTCACGGCGGCGGCCCCGTTCGCGGCCCGTCGCTTATCTCGGCGCCTTTAATTAATGTTCATTAACGTTGTTTCCCGCGCCCGCCGCYCCGCCGGGCGCGCCGTAGGGTCCCCACACCCCTCGCACGTCTCCCCGAGCTCCCAACTTTCCGTTTCTTTGGAAAGAGGGGGAAAGAAAAGCCCCGAAGCCCTGGAAAGGCGGGAGCGCACGTGCGCGGCGGGGCCCCGACCCCGCGGTGCTCTGAGCATCTCCTCCCGCTGAGGAATCCGCGCCYGCCTTGCCCCGAGAGGAAAGTCCTGACACCTTCACTCTCCCCGAGCTGCACACGCGGGTTTTGGTGGAAAAAACCTGCCCAAAAGTGTTGATTGAACCCATGCAGGGGTGTTTGCGGGTGGCAGGTAYCCGGAGCGGCCTCCAGGCGCTGCCAGCATGCGGCTGCCGGGACTGAGCTTTCTAAGGTTTCCAGAGTGAGAAACCCCACTCTGCCCAGGCAGCTTTCCTTAAAACTCGGTGTTTGCATGGAATAATAATGGTTGGCGTTTTTTTAAGTGAGAAAGTAATAGTGAGAAGCTGGTCTGGTTTTGCTTGGGGTCTGCAATATTCCCAAAATGTTGTTTAAGTGTGGGGAACGGGAAGTCACCTTGTGGRTATTCCACTCTAGATAAAATAATTTAAAATTAACTGGCTGCGTCTTTTCACTGCTTCTCCAAGTATGCAACCTGTATTGATTATCGAGTGGCTTGGACAYGAGGAAATTATTTATTTGGTCTCAATTAATCTCCAGGACTCTCTGGAAACATGATCTGAAGTCAGAAGGTTTTGGGTTCAGAGAGGAATTAGTTTTATGAGTTTCACTCTGCACAGTTAAATGATGAACTTGAGGAGAAGGCAGCAGTTGGGGCAGCTGATGTGCCCTGGCTGCACTGGTTTTATGGGAGCTGGACCAGTGCACTCCAGTGGTTACAAACCGCCGTTTTTGCAGTTTGATGCGTGCTTGGAGGAAGGGAAACCTCTGCATAATTTTTAAATTCGGTGGGTGTTGGTGATTTCAGGGCAGGAGTCTAGTCTGATTTTAAACCAGTCCCAAAGCAGCAGCTGCTGTCCAGTGCCTGGGGTGTGATTTTGGATGGGGTTCCTTGTTCCAACACCCACATGTGCCCCGCTGGCTGTTCGCAGGTGACCGAGTTGGTGCTCGACAACTGCCGCTCCAGCAACGGGGAGATCGAAGGGCTCAATGACTCCTTCAAGGAACTGCAGTTCCTCAGCATGGCCAACGTTGAGCTGACATCACTGGCCAAGCTCCCCACGTTGAGTAAGCTCCGCAAGGTGGGTGATCTGCCAGCACTTTGGGACAGCAAAGCCACTGTGATGAGCTTTGGTCGCACCTTTTGGCACTCACAGTTGGACTTGTGAGACGCTGAAGGTGCTTCATGGGCCTCTGAAATGTTTGGTTTTTTTTTTTAAATCTGAAATAGTTTTGGGTGTTTCCAGTTAATTATGGCAATTTGCTGTAATTTGGTCAGTGATCTTGGGGCAGTAAGTTCTTGGCTATGGACGTTGTGAAGGTGAGCAGGGGGCTTTGGTAAGAAGCCCTTGGGTTGCCCATTGCTGGCAGTGAACTCCAGTCCTGGGAACTTCAAAYTGAGATGCCCAAACCATTGAGACTTCAAGGAGCAGTTTAAAAAATCTCATCTTAAAGGAACTTTGTAATGGCCAAAGCGTGTTAACTTGTGCGACTCTTCAGAAGTGATTAAACTCTTAAAGCAAGARGAATTAATAATGATGCAGCTGAATCTAAGGCTGAAAATCCAACTGTTTAATTCCTTTTTTTCTGTACCATAGCTGGAGTTGAGTGACAATGTCATTTCTGGAGGCCTGGAGGTCCTTGCAGAGAGATGTCCTAATCTCACATATCTAAATCTAAGTGGCAACAAAATCAAAGATCTTGGCACTGTGGAAGCTCTTGTGAGTATGAAGTGGGAGGGACTCTGGAGAGATTTAACAAATACTATTTTTTATCAAGAATCCTCAMTATTTTTTGCAATGGATTGGTACCAGCTTGCATCAGTCCTGTGGTTGGTCCAGTTTGATGGACTCGGTGCTGTGGTCATAAGACAGCACACGTAACCCCAGCACTGGAAAATGCTTCTGTGTTGGGATTGAGATGTCCCAAAGCAGAGATTGTTGGGCTGGTTTTGCCATTGAAGGAAAAGTGGCCAAGGTGTGTTGTGCTTATTCCCCTGTGCCTGTTTGTTAAGGTGTGTTTGTCKGGTGAGCTTTCATTAAACTGAAGTGACTCAGGTGAGGGTGTGATACAGCCAAGAGTGGGACAGTGAAGCAGAGGAGAGAGCTCTCAGTGGTGATCCATTCCCCCATTTTCCTGGATAATTGGGGTTTCTATCCAAAACTGGGCTCTGCACACAGAACCCAACCCCARAGGTGTGGGGAGGTTCCAGAGCTGGATGGGAGTTGATCTGTGTGAGTGCATTTCTTGGAGATTCAGCCACTGCCAGCACCTTGGACTGAACTTTGAGGGAGAAGAATTCTCTCTAGAAATGAGAGATGAGGACAGAGTAAATTCTGTTATACTTGGGCTGCAACCCTGCTGTACCTGGGAGCACAATGGGAAAAAACGTTTTCATTCATTTTCAGCAAAATCTGAAGAACTTGAAGAGCCTTGACCTGTTCAACTGTGAGATTACAAACCTTGAGGACTACAGGGACAGCATCTTTGAGCTGCTTCAGCAGATCACGTACCTGGATGGCTTCGATCAGGAGGACAATGAGGCACCAGACTCAGAAGATGATGATGATGGTAACTTCATCAAACAAACTGGGGGAGAGGAATGGGATGCTGGAATAAAGGTCTCAGTGTAAACCCTGAGCACATGAGTGCAGTTTTGGTCCTGTTCTGAAGAGCAATGTGCAGAGCASGTTTGGTATTAATGCACTGATGGAGGGTGAAAACTCCATCAGAGGGGTCCAGTCCTGCAGAAGCCACCTGGGCATAAGGGAATTGGACTGAAGATACTTTTGTGAGACACAAATGTTCTCAGATTTGTTGTGCACAGTAAAGCCCTTTGTGCCACCAAGAGCAAGGGGACACGTGCACTATTTTGAATAAAAAATTACAATTTTACAGGGTTTGCTAATGGCTTCAGGCTCCTGCTTCAGTAGAATACAATTTTKAGTTCCAAAAGCAGACCTAGTTCCTTTTGGTGCCACCACAGTTGCAGTCCTTAAGGGGGCTGTTGTGGCTGTCATCCCCTACTGCTGGCAGGGTTTGCATTTGTAGCTGCTTCAGATACTGAGCATTTTGCTTGAAGTTTGTGATGGAAAAAACTGAGAGTCTTTTTTAGAGAAAAAATGATAAAAGTTTAACTTTGTTACAATTATGGTTGCTTCCCATGTGTTGCCTGGACTTAGAAAAAAAAATTAAAATCCCCAAATCCTTAGGAAAAAACCTATTAGAGCCTGCCCATGCTGCTGTATTCAGGGAGGAGTGAATGGAACTGAACTTCTGGCCTATTTTTGTGTCCTTCACTGCAGAAGCAGATGAAGATGACGATGATGATGAGAATGAAGCTGGGCCTCCAGGAGAATATGAAGAGGAAGATGATGAAGATGATGGAGCTTCAGATTTGGGGGAAGGTGAAGAGGAGGAGGAAGTTGGTCTTTCATATCTAATGAAAGAAGAAATTCAGGTAAAGTTTGTRAATTCTGCCAAATGCAGGAAGCAAAGAGAAGCTCCTGCAGGGTTTTGTGGTTACAGMAATCAGTTCTGGTACAGTTCCCATAGGATGGACAASAGCCACCTTTCAGAAGGTGATGAGCTGAGTCTTGTGGCTGTAAAGTGGTCACACAAATCACAGAAGTGAAGCCCTGGGTCCWGCTCAGGTCCTCCCTCCTGACCCAGCAGCCGGGTTCTGCAGGAGGATGTGCCTGGGGTGGGGTTTGCAGTGCCTGCAGTTTGGATTGAAAACCCTGCAGCCAGCCAGGATTGGTTCTTCAGTAAGAGTTTGCTTCCTGTCAGGGAGTTCATGTGGAATGGGTTTAATTCCAGTGTTCCAAGGGCAAATATCAGAGGGCTGTTTCCCTATTYTGACTTGTCACACTCCCCTGTGTATAAAATTCCACCAAGCAGAGTGATTTGAAACCAAGACTTGAGTTTGTTGATTTCTCTGGAGCCGATGGTTCATTYGTTTACATTTCTCATCTATCAGCTTTACAACAAAACAAAAAACCAACACAACAACTTACTCATTTTCACAGTAATTTGTGAAGATGATACTGTTGTGCTCCTTTTTCTTGTCCTGGGGCCTTRCTGAGTGCAGGTTCAAAATCTGTCAATAACTTGGAGCTGGCTTAAGGTAGTGAACAGTGGGGAAAAGCAAAAGACTGGGACTAGCTGATGCCCCGATGGGGCAAGTGCAGGGAATTCCTGGRTTTCTGCTTGGGATCATTGTTCAAACAAGACTTCAATGAACAGCAACTGTARAAATGTCTTCCAATTATTGTACAGGATGAAGAGGATGATGATGACTATRTTGAAGGAGGTGATGAGGAAGAAGAAGGTAAGTGCTCCAATTGTAACTGAAACAATTTGGGACATGTGCGTTAACACAAAAAGGAAAAGTAAAGTGAAAGGACTGAAGAAACAAGAGTTTTCTAAAAGGGAAGACAGTCTCCTCTGCATTTGGGAATTGTTGTTCCCTGTTGCAGAGAGGAGTGGGACTCTGCTGTGCATCTTATTATTTACTTCCATGGAAAATACCCCTCAAGTGCACCAGAATTGTCCTTGGTAAAGCCTGGCAGCCAGGAGCAGCTGGAGCTTTCCCTTTATCCAGCTGAAAGTGGCTTCTCCATAAGCAACTCTGCTTCACGGATAAAGAAGTGGGTTACTGGAGTATTTTTTAATAAGTTTTTTCATAAAACATTCCATGTCTGTGTAAAGACAAATCCCAGAATTTCTTCCCGGCTGAAATTCCATTTCYTCCCCATGCTGGGTTCAGTGGAGCAGGTTTGGGAGCTGGATTTTCCACTTGCATAAAGAGGAATTCTGAAGGAGCAGTACAAGTTCAGCCCTGGAGTCAGGATGGGCCTTTGGCCAGGGAATGACTGCTGGGGATTCAGTGGTCAGGGCAGGATTGCACTGCGAGCTGCCACCAGCAGAGTGCACAGCTCACCGCCTGAA